CGCGGGGCGGGGCGGGAAACGGCGGGAGCGCGCGGGGGGGGGAGGGGGCACAGTCCGGGCCATGGAGACACTGCCCACAGGTGCCTGGCACGGCCACGGGGCCGATTCCTGCTGCCCCGGCCAGCCCAGCCTGCAAAGCTGTGCCCTGTGGAGAGCGGGGGTCGTGTGGCACCGAGGGCAAAGCCCCCCCAGGGCTCCGGGCACAGCAGGGGCTGCAAGGCCACAAGTGCCGGGGCTGCCCCGGGCCGGGTCCGGGCGGTGCCGCTGTCCAAGGGGGGCCGGGGGTGGCCCTTTGTGACACGGGCACCTTCCAGGGCCCTTTGTGACACGGGACATGGGGGTGCCCGGAGACCCTTGTGACATCACAGAGCCCTGCCCTGCCCGCGGGGGTTTGAGGGGCACAGAGCCCTGGGGTGCCCACTCCCAGGAGAGCCCCTCTCGCAGGAGGAAGCAGCTCCCGGGATCTCTCTGCCAGAGAGAACGAGAGAAGTTTTAGGAAGCGAAGAAAACGGAGATGGACAAGCGCAACTCCCAGCCCAGCCAGGGGCAAACTCCGAGCCTGCCCAGGGTGAGGGACAGGGAGCCAACGCTGCCATCTCTGCCACGACAGCCAAGGCAGCCACTGCTGCCACTGCGGCCGCAAATGTCACCACTGGCATGGAAGCCAAGGCAGCCACTGCTGCCACTGCGGCCACCAATGTCACCACCGGCACGACAGCCAAGGCAGCCACTGCTGCCACCACTGCCAGAGCAGCCAAGGCAGCCAACAATGTCACTGCTGCCACCGCTGCCACCACTGGAACGACAGCCAAGGCAGCCAACACTGCCATCGGTGCCACCACTGCCAAGGCAGCCAACGCTGCCACCACTGCCATCGCTGCCACCACTGCCAAGGCAGCCAACACTGCCACCACTGTCATCGCTGCCACCACTGGCAGCACTGCCACGGCAGCCAACGCTGCCACCACTGTCATCGCTGCCACCACTGGCAGCACTGCCACGGCAGCCAACGCTGCCACCACTGACAACGCTGCCACAGCAGCTACAGGAGACAAGGAAGATGAAGATTTCTGAGGAGGAGAGGAAGATGGAGAGGGACAAGAACAGGAAGATGGAGATGGATAAGCCACCGCTGCCAGCACTGCCAGGGCAGCCAAGGAAGCAACAACTGCCACCGCTGGCAGCACTGCCACTGGTTCCACCGCAGCCACAGCCGCCACTGCCAGCACTGTCCAAGCTGCCACAGCTGCCAGCAGTGGCACAGGTGCCTCAACTGCCACGGCTGCCACCACTGCCCCAGCGGCCACCGCTGCCACCGGTGCCACGGCAGCCCCCAGTGCCAGCGCTGCCCTGCCCAGAGAGCCCCAGGGACACCGGGAGCCGGGGCACAGAGCTGGGCAGCGCGGGGGCACAGGAGGCCCCAGCCCGGCCCGCGCTCGCTGCCGGCGCCAGCTGGGAGCCTCCTCCTCTGCCGGCAGCTCCCTCGGCCGCTCCTGCCAGCCAGAGCAGCCTCCCCGGCACGGCACCGCTGCAGCACCAGCCTGGCACAGAGCTCAGCCTCGTGTCCGACACGCAGCTGCTGCAGGAGCTGCACAGGAGGGGCCTGCTCCGTGCTGGCACAGATCTCAGCCTCATCTCAGACACGCAGCTGCTGCAGGAGCTGCACAGGAGGCTCCTGCTCCGTGCTGGCACCACAGAGGCCCCACCGCTCCTGGGGGGCACTACAAGCCAAGGACAGTCCCAGCAGGAAGAGGACAAAGAGCTGTGCCAAGGGACAGATGGCCTTGGCAAACAAGTGTCCCAAGGGGAAGATGTCCACTTGGAAGGGGACTCCAATGTCCAAGAGCTCTCCCAACTAGAAGAGGACATTGGGGAACCACTGTCCCCACAGGAAGAGGACATTTTAAAACCACTGTCCCCACGGGAAGAGGGCAGTGGCAAACCACTGTCCCCAGCAGAAGAAAACACTGTCCCGTGTGGCCCCACTGACTCGTCACAGCTGGAGCACCACGGGACTGGGAAGGAGCCGGACGTCGAGTCTCAGCTGCAGCACCCACAGAGGCGGCCCAGGAGTGGCCTGTTTGGAGGAATGAAAAGAATAAGGAACTGGTTCCGCAAGCCAAGAGACGAGGCAGCGGAACGGAAATACCAGAGGAGGCAGGAGTACGTGGAGATGTGGCTGGAAGCCCATTTGTCCTGCAATTACAACATCAACGAAGAGAGGAGGCGCAAGGGTGAAGAGCTGGCGCGACAGAAAGCCGAGCAAATGGAACGGGAGTACAGGGAGAAGTACGAGGGCAGAGACGACTGGATTGAAGACTATTTGCTCCGCAGTCCTTACTGTCCGCTCCCCAGAAAGCCAGAGCAGGAGAGGGACAGGCCCCAAGAGCTGGCCCAGGGGGAGGAGTCCAAGAGCCAAGGACTTGCCCAAGAGAAAGCTGACCAAGAGGAACGGCCGTGCCAAGGGCCAGAGGAGAACGACCAGGCCGAGGAGCTTTCCCAAGGGCAAGACAACAGAGTCCAAGGGCTGTCCCAAGGGCACGATGACAAACCCTTGGGCCTGGACAGCGACGACGACCCCCTGGAGGGGCCCAGCTCCCTCTACATCCCGAGCAAGACCCAGCGGCCTCTGTCTTCCAAGCAACCAAAGGCAGACACTTCTCCATCCACCAGTGAGGAGCAGACCCCAGCAGGGTCCCGCAGCTCCTCCCAGGGCAGCCAAGTTCTGCAGGACACAGTCCAGCCCCTCATCCACGACCTCCTGAGCAAGGCTGTGCTGGAGGTGGACACTTCTTCATCCATCAGTGAGTACTTCACCCCAGCACAGTCCCGGAACCCCTCCCAGGACAGCCAAGCTCTGTGGGACACAGCTCAGAAGTTAATCCAGCACGTCCTGAGCAAGGCTGTGCTGGAGGTGCAGAGGTGCCCCCAGCAGCCACAGGAACAGCAGGAGCTGGGACAAAGCCCGGCTGCAGAGGTGGAACCAGCAGTTGCAGCGGAACGGGAGGAGAGCCCAGGCCCTGCCCGCAGCCCCTCGCCTGCCCAGGTGGAGGCCCAGGCCCTGGGTGGGAAACGTCCCTCCCTGTTGAGGCGCACGCTCCGCGCTGTGCACAGGCTGTTCCGCTGGCCCCGCAGGCCGGCACAGCCCCACCATTAGGCCCCGCTCCAGCGCCAGGCCCGGCCCAGACAGCGCAGGGCGGGCAGCACTTTGCCGGGACCAACATCTCCCGCAGACCAGCACGGCACATCCCTCCAGCTGCATCCACGCTGGACACCGGACTGACCCCTTGCACAGGATGGAGGCGTCACCCATTCTCAGAGGAAGGTAGGACACTGTGCTGAATGTCACCTCCCAGAGCTGTGGGAACAGTCCCCTGACAAGGTCCCAGTGTGCCAGTATCAAAAAGTCAGTTAAATGACGGCCTTTTGTAGTGTTGCACAAAACAGCTCCATTTAGGGTTCCTTTCTTTGGCCTCCTGGTGTCTGGCTGGGTGTGCTTGGAGAGCACAAACCGATGCCCTTGTTTGTGGTTTCCTTCAGCTTTGCCCCAGGTTCCTGCAGACCAAGGGCACCACTCAGTCACCCCTGGCCCTTCAGTGCAGTTGCAGAACTCACAGGTACCTTGGTGGTCCGAGAGCTTGTCGTGTTTGATTCCCTTCCCTTGCCCAGAGAATTCCCCCAACCAAAGCCAACAGGAGTTTTTCCTGCAGGGAAGGCCAGAGCTGCCACCAAGGAGGGAAGCAGAGCCCCGTGGCTGTGGGAAGGACTGACCCTTTGCAGGCTGACAACATGGTAAGTGGGTGCAGCTGTTTGAACAGCCCAAACCCTTCCCAACTGTCACCTGGACCTGGATGCCCTCTCTTGTTGAGGCTGCAATCCTTGGATGAAGTTGTCCCTGTGGATACAATTGGTACTTCATGTTCCTAGGAAGGACCCTCCCCAGCTGGGCAAGCTTTGTGCAGCCGTGGTTTCTGTTGCACTCGGGGCAGCTCTTTCCCATCCTGTCCATAGCAAGGTGAGTCTAAAGCACTTTGGAGTTCCCTCGGGGAGAGCCAGCCCGTGGCTGGGAGAAAGTAAATATTGCACCAGCTGCTTTGGGGGCAGCAAAGGAAACCAGAGCCCTGTCTTGCTTGCATTTCCCATTCTCACAGCTCAGCCACTCGCCTCCACCTACAGTGTTTGCCTCTGTGGGGCTGTAAGAACAATCAACCTACAAGAGCTGCTGTGGAACTGAGTGTTGGCTTTGGGGGAGGGTCACCGGGTCGGGAGGCAGCTGCTTCATCGTAACATTGGGACTGAAGTCGGGGTGGAACACGGACTCTCTGGCAGCTGAAGCACTTCAAAATATGTTCCCACTTCAGCTGTTTGGGTTTTGCTTCAAATATCCCAGCCTTTTCCCCTTCTTTTCCTGCAGACAATGCCATGACCAAGATGGGAGTGCAGAGCAGGTCTGGATTGACAGGACAGTCATCCGTGACCACATCAGCCTGACCACGTTCCCTGATGATGGCAACGGGATGAACTCGGAGCAGCTGCACAAAATACTAAGGTGGAGAACCCCTCTCTGGAGGAATTCCAGCTCCTCCTTCTGTTAGTGCTCAGCTCATTCCTTTTTCTCTGCTGGAATTCCCTCCTTTGGGTCAGGAACTCAACATTTCTGAAGGGCAGGGAGAATTCACGGGAGACTCCAGAGCCTCCAAATGCTCTGGAAACTTCCACACAACTTTGTCACGGAACTTTGATCTCCTCATTTCCTTTGATCCTTTCTCTCAGCCTTCCCCTTTAACTTGCCATGCACTGTGCAGCCTCTCTGGAGTGCCCATTAGTGGAGGGAAAGAGAATTCATATGGTTGTGATTGTCTTTACTTTCAGCTGGCAACCAAGAGAAGAGGGAGACTTGGCTCCAATCTTTTGGATTATTGATAAGAGAAGGTATTGTGGGAAATGATCCTGTGCCTTTTCTGTTTCTCCTGCCAC